TGGAGGTCTTAGTAAGAGCGTCTGCTGTGCGAATGTGCGACAGTGACTGGTGTTGGAAGGCGCTGCCGACCTCCACTTCATCCTATCCCAGTGAAAAAGCCATTCCAAATCATCGGGGTAGACATCATGGAGCTACCAGTGACAGAGCAGGGAAACCGGTACGTGATCGTGTTCCAAGACTTTCTGACGAAGTGGCCGCTAGTCTTCCCGGCTCCAGACCAGAAGGCTATTAGGATCGCTCGTCTCGTTGCTGAGGAAATCGTACCGCTGTTTGGTGTCCCGGACACCTTGCTGTCTGACCGTGAAGCCAATCTTCTGGCGCATGTTATGAAAGATGTCTGTGAGCTCCTCGGAGTGAAGAAACTCAACACCACTGCGTACAACCTCCAGTGCGACGGTATGGTCGAACGTCTGAATCGTACCCTCAAGACCTAGCGTGGAACAGTCAACACCAATGGATGACTCTGGAGGAGGGCCACCGCAGACTGATCCTCTTCCCTTCCCATTAACTGGAGAAGATGAACCTAATCCAGGACAGGTTCCTGAGAGTGCGGAAGAGTTGCCACCAAACAACAAACGTTATGCACTGAGGGACCGCGCCCGTCAACGTCAGCCGCTGCGTCTGATGGAAGTCATTACAAGAGACAGGGACAGTTCGGGACAAACTGGCTGAAAAGGAGGGAGTGATGTAACAGAGCTCAGGACATTGAACTGTCATTTACCCATTATTGCATCATCATACTTATTGTACGCATGCGTGGATTATAGTCAGTCTTAGTCCTCGCCCGACCCTGGCACGGCGTTACAAATATAATGATGATAAACATGTATAAAAAAGAGAACATAAGGCCACAAAACAATAAACGAACGGTTACGTTGTACGTACCCATGTAGGGAATGTCAGGTGGAAATAGACGGTGCAGATAGACCGTTAACTTATGATTAGGAGCCTACCTGCATCGGCATTCAGCACAGATTCCACAGAGACTGCAAGAGGATTAACAAGTTCAGTAGGAGAGCCAGTTGTTCCCGTCAATACCACACACACTGAGCCGGCTGCTCCACCTTCAATGATACCAACAGAATCTGCAGCGACCTCAACCTCCCCGGCTGAAAGAAAGATTTATGCACAATACAGAATAAGATACGTACCGATTATTATACGTATATATGCGTCTCGCTTATCACACATACGTAACTACGATTCCTGTCGTACGCACCATCGTTATCAGTGATTGTAACGGTGGCAGTGTCTGATGCTCCAACAGAAACGACGGCACTTTGGTCTGTCCCAGTGATCATAGCGTCAAATGCTTCATCTCCCTCCAATAAGGTATCTTCCGTTCCGCTCACTGCCACACAATGAGAGCCATCAGTCGGAAGCGTTGTTCCGGCAGGAATGGTGACAGACGCACCCCAGAAAAGTCACATTCCAATGTCACATATTCAGTCCCATCATCCGAGCCTGTTCTATCAGAATGGGCAGACGAGTAAAGTCACCATCCTGTGTACCACATTCCCGGTTGAAATGCATATATATAATATATATGAATAATTATAATGATGATAAACATGCATCAAAAAGAGAACATGCGGCTACAAAACAATACACGAACGGTTACGTTGTATGTACCCATGTAGGGAATGTCAGGTGGAAATAGACGGTGCAGGATAGACCGTTAAATTATGATTAGGAGCCTACCTGCATCGGCATTCAGCACAGATTCCACAGAGACTTCAAGAGGATTAACAAGTTCAGTAGGAGAGCCAGTTGTTCCCGTCAATACCACACACACTGAGCCGGCTGCTCCACCTTCAGTGATACCAACAGAATCTGCAGCGACCTCAACCTCCCCGGCTGAAAGAAAGATTTATGCACAATACAGAATAAGATACGTACCGATTATTATACGTACATATATATGCGTCTCGCTTATCACACATACGTAACTACAATTCCTGTCGTACGCACCATCGTTATCAGTGATTGTAACGGTGGCAGTGTCTGATGCTCCAACGAAACGACGGCACTTTGGTCTGTCCCAGTGATCATAGCGTCAAATGCTTCATCTCCCTCCAAAAAGGTATCTTCCGTTCCGTTCACTGCCACACAATGAGAGCCATCAGTCGGAAGCGTCGTTCCGGCAGGAATGGTGACAGACGCACCCAGAGAAAAGTCACCAGCTCCTGAGTGCACAAAATTCCAGGTTTAATGCATATAATGATGATAAACAGAACAAAAAAGAGAACATGTGGCTACAAAACAATAAACGAACGGTTACGTTGTACGTACCCATGTAGGGAATGTCAGGTGGAAATAGACGGTGCAGGATAGACCGTTAACTTATGATTAGGAGCCTACCTGCATCGGCATTCAGCACAGATTCCACAGAGACTGCAAGAGGATTAACAAGTTCAGTAGGAGAGCCAGTTGTTCCCGTCAATACCACACACACTGAGCCGGCTGCTCCACCTTCAGTGATACCAACAGAATCTGCAGCGACCTCAACCTCCCCGGCTGAAAGAAAGATTTACGCACAATACAGAATAAGATACGTACCGATTATTATACGTACATATATATGCGTCTCGCTTATCACACATACGTAACTACGATTCCTGTCGTACGCACCATCGTTATCAGTGATTGTAACGGTGGCAGTGTCTGATGCTCCAACGGAAACGACGGCACTTTGGTCTGTCCCAGTGATCATAGCGTCAAATGCTTCATCTCCCTCCAATAAGGTATCTTCCGTTCCGTTCACTGCCACACAATGAGAGCCATCAGTCGGAAGCATTGTTCCAGCAGGAATGGTGACATACGCACCCAGAGAAAAGTCACCAGCTCCTAGCTGCACACAATTCCAGGTTTAATATATATTATGTTTAACTGATACATGCATAAAAGAGAACATGTGGCTACAAAACAATACGAACATGTTACGTTGTACGTACCCATGTAGGGAATGTCAGGTGGAAATAGACGGTGCAGAATTGACCGTTAACTTATGATTAGTAGCCTACCTGCATCGGCATTCAGCACAGATTCCACAGAGACTCAAGAGGATTAACAAGTTCAGTAGGAGAGCCAGTTGTTCCCTGTCAATACCACACCACTGAGCGCGGCTGAGCCTGATCCGGCTGCTCCTTCAGTGATACCCACATAGCTGCTGCAAGTCCCATCTCACAAATCCATCAACCTCCCCGGCCGAAAGCAAGCGTTTCTCACCATCTCAATGGAAAAGGTGGGCACGTACGTATTAGTACATGACAACCTGTGTCATCCCAATATACTAAGTACTACCGTACTTAGTGATAATTATGTTCATATAAAAATGTGTCACTTATATATCACACGTACGTAACTACGATCCCTGTCATACGCATCCATCGTTTCACCAGTCTCGATTGTAACGTGCAGTGTTTGATGCTCCAACAAACGTCGCACTTTGGTCTGTCCCAGTGAGTGATAGCGTCAATGTTTCATCGACCCTCCAACAGGTGCTCTATCTTCCGTTCCGATCACTCCTGCCACACAATGAGCCTCAGTCGGAAGTATTGTTCGGCAGGACATGGTGACAAATGCACTCACAGAAAAGTCACCAGCTATTGAGTGCAAACAATTCCAGGTGTATAATAAATATGCATATAATGATGATAAACACGCATAAAAAGAGAACTAACTTGTGCTACAAAACACACACACGAAATGTACGTGGTAGATATCCCCACGTATGGTACGTCAAGTTGGCATAAACGGTGCGAATTGACAGTAACTTGTCATTAGGAGCCTACATGCGTGGGCATGCAGTCACAAATGCCACATGTACAAGAGGATATCAATCGGTAGGCAGAGCCAGTTTTGTTCCCCGTCAATGACCACACACACTGACCGCTGCTCATCCCCTTCAGTGATACCACAGAAGCTACCTGCAGTCACCTCAACTTCCCCACTGCTGAAGAGAAGCATTACGTACAATCTCAAATGAAAACGGTGGGTACGTACGTATTATTATTTTTATGTTCATATAAACACGTGTCGCTTATCACACATACGTAACTACGATCCCTGTCGTACTCACCATCGTATCAGTGATTGTAACGGTGGTAGTGTCTGCATGTTCACCACAGAAACTACGCCTTGTGTCAGTCCCAGTGATCAGATAGCGTCCAATACTACTTCATATCTACCTCCAACAGTGTATCTCTGCTTGCCGTTCCCTCACTGCCACACAAGTGAGAGCCATCAGTCGGAAGCGTTGTTCCTAAGCACGCATGAATGGTGACAGACGCACCCAGAGAAAAGTCAACAAATCCTGCGTGCGCACAATTCCAGGTTTAATATAATATGTATATATGATGATAAACATGAACAAAAAGGAGAACATGTGGCTACAAAACTATACACGAACGGTTACGTTGTACGTACCCATGTAGGGAATGTCAGGTGGAAATAGACGGTGCAGAATAGACCGTTAACTTATGATTAGGAGCCTACCTGCATCGGCATTCAGCACAGATCCCACAGAGACTTCAAGAGGATTAACAAGTTCAGTAGGAGAGCCAGTTGTTCCCGTCAATACCACACACACTGAGCCGGCTGCTCCACCTTCAGTGATTCCCACAGAAGCTGCAAACACCTCAACCTCCCCAGCTGAAAGAAAGATTTATGCACAATACTGAACATCTCAAATGAAAAGGTGGTTATATTGCTTATCACACATACTTAACTATGATACTTGCGTTGGTGTGGCAGGAATGGTGATGTTACAGACTACACTACTGGGCTACATGTCTTAGCCAGTCTCAGATGTTTTGGATCCTAATTGTGATAGGTATAGAGACTAAACTTTGTACACTGATAACATTCCATTCCTGTGTGCAACGTCATATTGAAAACAATGTATTTTTACATATAAACAACAAAGATCAACAAAAATAGCCCTACGTCATACATTATTACATAGACCAATAAAGTGTGATAAGTTGTTAATGACTTGGAATGATAAAACTTTGTGCACATATGCAAGTAACAAAATGTAAATTTTACAAGTTTGTAAACAACAACAAACAGCCTCAGGTAATAAAAACTTGTAGACAGTGTTTGTGCCTATAATGGGTCCTCTAACAATGAAATTTGGTACCCTGATTGTACATGATAAGAGTTTATCGAAACAGAAATTACAACAGGCATTAAAAACTTGCAAACTTTGTTTTTAGTAAAATTTACCGGTTTGTTTCATCCACTATGTGTTGCAGGACTTGTGCCGTGAATAAACAGAAAAGATTGCCTATAACTTGTTTATCCCGGGTCTTCTAACAATGAAACTTGGTACACTTAAGTACTTCGGTGAAAAAAATGTGAATGACGATAAACAGTCTGAGGCAATAAACACACAGGCCCTTAATGCCCCAAATATTATATTGCACATGATACAGTATATAAAAAAAGGAAAGGAGAGAAGTAAATGAAAAATTGTTTGAATTATAAAAATGGGATGCAAAAGCTAGGAGACAAGACCGGGATGACATAGTGCATGTGATGCAGTAGTACAATGGATGATGGTTGTATATACATCTTCCATCTGACATTTCTTGCTCGTGTAATTTTATTCTCACAAGCCCTATATTGTAGCTACTATTAACAAGGGTGTCTTTGAGTGAATGACATAGAGTGGGAGGAAAGATTCTGTAGAGGGCCTAGAACGCCAGCATTGTCGTGAGGGAACATGGAAGTCTTAGACTACAAAATGCAATCACCATTCAAAACTGAGGACCTTTCAGAGAGGGCATTAGCTATGTATATACCTGTCACACATGCTTAAGAAACAAGTAATATAACTCCACATCATACGATGGAGATCACCAGTGTTTTGCAGCAACGTGTGGAGGAAAATTTACAATGTCAGTATGTAACGACCATCCACTGTACTAGCTACTGCATCACATGCACTACGTCATCACTGTCTTGTTTCCTTGCTGTTTATGGCTTCCCTGTATTCCACACCTTTTTTAATTCGAAGAATGTTTGTACTCTTGTCTAAACTGAACAACAACAACAACAAGAATTTTGAAAACTACCTTTCCTGATCAGACTGATATGTCAGAAGTCGTATATGATTGAAACTGACAGTGAAATGTGCAAATCTCAAATGTATGGGCATAATACAGCATAACCTGTGTCATCCATATAATATTCGAACGTCGGTAGATGCTCTATATACGTAGCTGGATGGAACAGGTCAAATCTCACGTGATCCGTGTACAAAACGCCTCGGCGAAAATGACTCCCTAGGCTTTCATAAATCACTAGTAATAGTCTACGGGCCCATAACTAGCTATCAAGACTTCATACGTGCCAGGCGAGAATTCTCTCATACGCGATTTCACGATTTGTTGTCATCATCATTATTCTTCTTCCTCTTCTTCATCTTCTTCTTTAAACCCGCTATCTCCATACTGGAACGAGTTGAAGCGCTGATTTTTCCCCCAAATGGCTTCAAATTCGTCGGACGTGTGCACAGACATCAAGTGATGGTTTCTTTCTTGCCGCTAGTCACTACAGTAGATCATGGAGCTATTTCATGAGAGACACTGAACGACGCCATTTGCTGCTACCTCAGCAATGAGCATGCGCCAAGCAGCGTTATCCTAATGCCGCGTGTGCATGCGTCGGAACTCCAAAGTCGCCGCGCCAGGTAGTAAGTACAAGCATTTCGGTAAGCGTACAACTAGCATTTGCACGACCTGTCATGGATTCCAATCTCTGTGCAAAGTTTCATCTCCATATCTTTCATGGTTTATGAGATACGCTTGTCTAAACTGAACAACAAAACTGACTTTCTTGAATAAATCATATGTGATTTAAGCCATTTCTTGGGTACATACGTTTTTGATGATACGGATCAGAATGATAATATGTCAGAAGTTGGATCTGATTGAAAATGAAATTTTTGATTTTTCAAATGTATGGACATTAATGCTGAGGGTTTATAACTACTTCTTCACTCCTCAAACTCGCTAAGGTAGCACGCATGGAGATGAAACTTGGTACGTATGCGTATTACATCATTTCCATGACAAGTACATGCTTCTATGACGACTACATATTGTTCAAATAGCCTCAGGCACTTCTCCTCAAACTTGCTAACTGTACCACGCATGGAGATGAAACTTGGTATGCATGCGTGTAACATCATTCACATGACACACACTTTGTTTGAACAACAACAAACAGCCACAGGCAATTTTCTTAAAAATTACTTCTTCACTTCTCAAACTCGCTAAAGGTAGCACACATGGAGATGAAACTTGGTACGTATGCGTATTACATCATTTCCATGACAACGACATGTTTCTATGACGACTACATATTATTCAAATAGCCTCAGACACTTCTCCTCAAACTTGCTAAACTTGGTATGCATGCATGTTACATGACATATTCATCTTTTCATCACGACCACATATTGTTTGAACAACATCAAATAGCTTCAGGCACTCTTCACTCCTCTAACTTGCTAACAATAGCACTCATGGAGATGAAACTTAGTATGAATGCGTATGACATCGTTTCCATGACAACCCCACATTATTTGAACAACTACAAACAGCCTCAGGCATTTACTTTTTCACTCCTCAAACTTGCTAACGGCAGCACACATGGAGATGAAACTTGGTACGCATGCGTATTACATGACGACAACAGGCATTTTTCTCTATAATTAATTTTATAGGGGGCTTGCCCCCTTTCACAGAGATATACATACGTAGTAGTATATAAAAATGAGTGCAGACAAGTAAATCTGCAAATTTAAAAAAAGAGGCATATAGGGATGGTATAAAAAGAAAGGGAGACAAGATAGGGATGGGATACATGAAGCATGGTTAATGAACAGAGTTGAGCACACTGACACCCCCAACCCCATCACACAACCCTATATCGTTGCCTGGTGAGCCACTCTATTTGTACTCTTGGTTAGTCAGTATATATCATGACTTTTTCGTATTTTCAAGCTGTAAGTCCTGACAATTGTGTAATGTTGAATGTTTAATACTTCACCTAGGCAGCAATATAGGGATTGTGTGATGGGGTTGGGGTGTCAGCATGCTCAAATCTGTTCATTAACCATGCTTAATGTATCCTATCCCTATCTTGTCTCCCTTTCTTTTTATACCATCCCTATATGCCTCTTTTTTTAAATTCGCAGGATTTATAATTTACTTGTCTCCACTCATTTATACTACTATGCAGTAGAGGAGTGAAGAAGTAAATGCCTGAGCCTAATTGTTGTTGTCCAAATTAATATGTGGTTGTCATGGAAACGATATCATATGCATTCTGACCAAGTTTCATCTCCATGAGTGCTACCATTAGCGAGTTGAGTTGAAGTATTAAACATTCACCATTACCAACAATACTCAGAACTTATAATGCTACTGAGGAACCAACACCGTTATAGAGTCCAAGTGGAGTTTAATTGAGCTGAATGACATTCTATTTTTCATTCGCTGTCTTAAGGAGCCTGACACATCACAAGCTTTTCAAATTCAATCCTTCATGAACTTTTCCAAAGGTAATACCCACTCCACTACTTATCTTAAGTTGAATTACTCCTCTTCTAAAACATCTTCTGCAGCCCACTTTTATTTTAACAGACTCCCTCGGCTATGGAACTCTCTCCCTCCGATAAACTTGGAACTATCTCTCCAATCTATCAAGCGTCATCTCTTTTGGAATCACTTCAAAACGAACTTTCAGAGTACAAATCCATGCACTTTTCACTTTCTTTTTCCATGCGCTAAGTGTTCCAGTACATCAATAACAACCTGTTTCTCTTCAGTTACTACATCTTAGGACACCAGTACTCCCAAACTGGTGTTCCTTCAGTACACTTCTTTATAATTACCATTCATTTCTTATTTATAGCATCCTATTTTATAGATCGCATTGTGTACTGTAAAGCTTGAAAAAAATTAAAGGGAATGTGGCAGTATAAAAGTAGAAATGTTACTAAAAACAACAGGGACACGGTGAAAGAATGCTTGCTTTTAGTAACCTTTAGCCCTTATATAATTCCCTATCACTAAGTACTACCGTACTTAGTATATAGGGATTGGCATGGTACCTAGCATCATAGATGTATGGGGCTATGATAGGGAGTTTTGTTCATCTTCTTCTCCTTCTTCTTCTTCTTCAGATTCAACACCCATAACACAAAAACGAAATAACATTTAGTAATGAAATTTTGTAAGAATATAGATATCCATCACCCGAAGAGACTGGTCATACTTATTTCTTTGTAAACAACAACAAATAGCCCCATGTAATACATTATAATGGGATCACATATGTCAGTATAACTAACAAATGGTAGGAGCTATGTGAACGAAACTTTGTAGACATAATGTATTCAATCACCAACATCAAAATTACAACAATACATGTTTGTAAACAACAACAAATAGCCTCAGGCACTTTTCTTTAAATTTACTTCTTCACTCCTCAAACTCTCCAATGGTAGCACACATAGAGATGAAACTTGATAAGTATGCCTATTATAAAAGGCCTCAGGCAATTTTCTTTAAATTACTTCCTCACTCCTCAAACTCGCACACATGGAGGTGAAACTTGGTGTGCATGTGTATTACATCGTTTCCATGACGACCACAACAACAAATAGCCTCAGGCACTTTTCTTTAAAATTACTTCTTCACTCCTCAAAATTTGCTAACTGGAGCATGCATGGAGGTGAAACTTGGTACGCATGTGTATTACATTGTTTCCATGACGACCACAACAACAAATAGCCTGAGGCACTTTTCTTTAAAATTACTTCTTCACTCCTAAAACTTGCTAACTATAGCACGCATGGAGATGAAACTTGGTACGCATGTGTGTAACATCGTTTCCATGATGACCACAACAACAAATATATAGCCTCAGGCACTTTTCTTTAAAATTACTTCTTCACTCCTCCAACTTGCTAATGGCAGCACACATGGAGATGAAACATGGTATGCATATCATTTCCATCACGACAACAGGCATTTTTTGCCCCCTTCCACAGAGATAGTATATAAAAATGAGTGGAGTGCGAATTTAAAAAAGAGGCATATAGGGATGGTATAAAAAGGAAGGGAGACAAGTTAGGGATTGGATACATGAAGCATGGTTAATGAACAGATTTGAGTACGCTGACACCCCCAACCCCATCACACCATCCCTATATTGTTGCCTAGGTGAAGTATTAAACATTCACCATTACAATACTCAGAACTTATAATGCACTACTGAGTAATCAACACCCTTGTAGAGTCCAAGTGGAGTTTAATTAAAGGGAATGTGGCAGTATAAATGTTACTAAAAACAACAGGGACACTGTGTAAGAATGCTTGCTTTCAGTAACCTTTAGCCCCTATAAGAGTAGCACACCAGGCAACAATATAGGGATGGTGTGATGGGGTTGGGGGTGTCAGCGTACTCAAATCTGTTCATTAACCATGCTTCATGTATCCAATCCCTATCTTGTCTCCCTTTCTTTTTATACCATCCCTATATGCCTCTTTTTTAAATTCGATACATTATAATGGGATCACATGCGTTATTGTAACTCACAAAATGCTAAGAGCTATGAAAATGAAAGTTTGTATACAACATGTTCAGTGACAACTATCGAAAACACAACAATACATGTTTGTAACCAACAACAAATCGCCTCAGGCAATTTTCTTTAAAGTTACTTCTTCACTCCTCTAACTTAGCAACTTAGAAACTTGGTACGCATGCGTATTACATCGTTTCCGTGACGACCATATATCAAAGCGCCTCAGGCACTTCTCTTCTTATTATTTCCTCACTCCTCAAACTTGCTATTGGTAGTACACATGGAGGTGAAACTTCGTACGCATGCATATTACATCATTTCAATGACAACTAAATATGAAATAGCCTAAGGCACTTCTCTTTAAATTCTTCTTCACTCCTCAAACTTGAGCAGGCATGGAGATTATGAGACTTTGTATGCATGCGTATTACATCATTTATGTGACGACCACAAGTTTGTAAACAACAACAGACCATTATTCTCTATTATTATTTTTATTGGGGGGCCTGCCCCCTTTACATTATACTAGTATAATATTATGAAAATGAGTGGAGACATAAATTAAAAATCTTGCGTATTTAAAAAGAGGCATATAGGGATGGTATAAAAAGAAAGGGAGACAAGATAGGGATGGGATGCATGAAGCATGGTTAATGAACATATTTGAGCACGCTGACACCCCGACCCCATCACACAATCCCTACATTTTTGCCTAGGTGAGGTATTCAATATTCATTATCAGGACTTATAGCTTTAAATATTCAAGTTACTGAGTAGCCAACACCTCCAAATGGAGATTAATTAAAGGGAATGTTGCAGTATGAAAGGGCTAAATTTAGAAATGTTACTAAAGATAAGAACAAAGCACAGTAAAAGAATGCAACTAAGAGTAACATTCCTAATTTTAGCCCATAAAAACTGCCAAATTCCCTATAAGAGTGGCACACCAGGCAACAATAAAGGGATTGTGTGATGGGGTTGGGGGTGTCAGCGTGCTCAAATATACTCGTTCACCATGCTCCATCCCTCTCTTGTCTCCCTTCTTTTTATACCATCCCTATATACCACCTTTTTAAATGCACAGGATGTTTAATCACTAAGTACGGTAGTACTTAGTATATAGGGATGGGCATGGTACCTAGCATCATAGATGTATGGGGCTATGATAGGGAGTTTTGTTCATCTTCTTCTTCTCCTTCTCCTTCTTCAGATTCAACACCCATAACTCACAAACGAAACAACACATAGTATTGAAATTTTGTAAGAATGTAGATATCCATCACCCGAAGAGACTGGTCATACTTATTTCTTTGTATTTGTTGTTGTTTACTGTAAACATCCCCAGGCAATACATTATAAGGGGATCACATGTGTCAGTATAACTCACAAATGGTAAGATCTATGTGAAGGAAACTTTGTAGACATAATGTATTCAATCACCAACATCAAAATCACAACAACAACAAATAGCCTCAGGCACTTTTCTTTAAATTTACTTCTTCACTCCTCAAACTCTCCTCAAACTCTCCAACGGTAGCACGCATAGAGATGAAACTTGGTATGTAAGCCTATTATATCATTTCTCCATTTTTCCATGACGACCGCATTGTGTTTGAAACATCCTTAGGCAATTTTCTTTAAAACCACTTCTTCACTCCTCAAACTTGCTAACTGTAGCACGCATGGAGGTGAAACTTGGTACGCATGTGTATTACATTGTTTCCATGATGACCACAACTACATGTTTCTATGACAACTACATATTGTTCAAATAGCTTCAGGCACTTCTCCTCAAACTTGCTAACGGTACCACGCATGGAGATGAAACTTAGTACAGATGTGTATGACATTGTTTGCATGAAAACCACATATTATTTGAACAACAACAAATAGCCTCAGGCATTTACTTCTTCACTCCTCAAACTTGCGGACGGCAGCACACATGGAGATGAAACTTGGTACGCATGTGTATTACATGATTTCCATGACCACTACAGGCATTTTTCTTTATTATTAATTTTTATAGGGGACTTGCCCCCTTTCACAGAGATATACATAGTAGTATATAAATATGAGTGGAGACAAATAAATTAAAAAGCCTACGAATTTAAAAAAAGAGTCATATAGGGATGGTGTAAAAATAAAGGGAGACAAGATAGGGATGGGATACATGAAGCATAGTTAATGAACAGATTTCAGCATGCTGACACCCTGACCCCATCACACAATCCCTATTTTGTTACCTAGGAGTATTAAACATTCAACATTACACAATAGTCAGGACCTACAGCTTGAAAATACCAAAAAAGGTCATGCTACTGAGTATTCAACAGTACAAGTGGAGTTGCCGAGTGACACACCATGCAACAATATAGGGATTGTGTGATGGGGTTTGGGGTGTCAGCATGCTCAAATCTGTTCATTAACCATGGTTCATGTATCCCATCCCCACCTTGTCTCCCTTTCTTTTTACACCATATCTACTTGCCTCTTTTTTTAAATTCGCAGGATTTACTTGTTTACTTGTAAGTGTTTTACTCTAATGTGTTTTGTCAGTCAAATCGGATTTCCCAAACTCTAACGTTGACCCTTAAAAATCGATAAACATTGCGTCCAACTTACAGCACTCCGTGTTACACAGACTACTCACCATCGTTGTCCTGAACTGTAACAGTTGCTCCTGTAGTAGCTCCAAGATCAGCTCCTACAGAAGCGGTGATTGCCACAGTAAACATTTCATTGCCTTCCAGGTTGAAATCCTCATCAAGATTTATTCCAAAGCATTTCGTTAGTCCACTATTCTCTGTGGTCGAAAAACTGACCACCGACACGGATAGAGTGAAGTCATCTGGAGTGCCTGTATAAAAAGGGCTTAGCCATATTTCCATCTGCTCATAAAAAGGACTCACTTGCAGTGCCAGGAGTAGCAACAAGTGTGACGTCAAAGTTGACCCCTAGCATCCCGCCTCCAGCCTCATCTGCCTGTACACAGACACCCTGAAAATTGGTGTCTCCCTCATTTCCATTGTACATGGCTGACGTCAGTGTCACTGGAAAAGGAAATAGACTACGTGGTGAATGAAAAGCACTAAAGTGCAAACCCTAGGCAAACTGCGCGATACCAGCTAATTGATGGCATGGGCTTGGCTATTAGTTACGTCTCGTGGTCTCCGCGCTAGTTATAGCTCGCGGAGACTCTGACACGGAACAGCTACTACAGTAGTCTAGTAGATAGCATGCCAGAGTCGATACACATCCTTCGTTGTGACTTCTTGAGCTCCAAGGTACACAGACTGTCAGAGCGAGGTCCCAGTGCGATTGTGCATATTGGCTTTTTCGCTTGTTTTCACGGCTTATCTCTTGAGCGCAGTCGTTTCAGGAAAATCGCCTTTCCCTATTTCAGGCTCGCGTAATTTGGTAGGCCGCCTCGTGGCCTGTAGAGTGCCGTCGACACACAAACTACTGTAACTGTAACTCTCGCTGCGCATGCGCGCCGAGGGGCGTGCAAACCCTCGGCTGGTAAACATGCGCATAAATTGCGAGCGTATGGCAACACCGTGCGCAGACGTCGACATCATGTTCTAACGTCGACGTCTGTGCAATAACAACGACGTCCCACTGACGTTGACGTCTGAGGAGCAACGACGATGTCCCGTTTACGTTGACGTCTGGGGCATTAACGACGAGGCCCCATTGACGTCGACGTCTTAGCACTGACGACGACGTCCAGGACAGTCGTGTATAATACGTTAACGATAAGACGTCGACGGCGCGTTAGCCCAGCGCTATTTGCAAGTCTCGACACGGCAATGTCTATTACTAAGTATAGGTTGCACTCAGACAGTTCAGGGTCCCTCGGGCCGTCTATATAAATCGTGCATTTCCGTTGACAAGCAGTAGCTATAACCGACTTAGACGGTAGCCGTGCTGGCAGTCAAGTCGTCCGTGTCCGTCGTCTTCCGCGAGACCCTCTCTCGCCGAGGGAAAACGCTCTTCATTTTAGTTTCTTTTTGCATCGTAGAGGGCGCCTTTCATCGAAAGAAGCATCGGATACAGCGAGCTTGAAGTCGTCGCGGCGAGTTCTCTGCAACAGAGCGAATTTCTCTTGCGCGGAAGCGTGCCACACACCCGTAGAAGACGCGTTTTTTGGCGGGCGTATCCGTGGAAACACGCACTCGGGATTGGTTTTACGCAGTCTGATTAGTTAATTACGACTAATAGTCACATAGGTAATCGCAGTTTTTACGACGCATATTATTATTATTATTATTATTATTATTCGGGTGGGTTTGTCGCTCACTCCAGCCTGAGCAATTCGTTTTACATAACAGTGAAATGATAGAATCCAAACCTGTCGGAGTAGCAGCCTGAGCAGCAGTAACAAACACTCCGGCAGCAAAAAGTTGTAGTACAACCGCTTGCATTTTCTGAAACACAGTCTTCTGCAAAGCACAACTTCGCTGGGAAAGAGTGGAAGCATGTGAAGCTCTTGTATTATTTATGCAGCATGTTCATCATACTTTATGTGGTGCGCCAGTAACCAGGCAATCCTAACGGAGACTGCTATAATAAACTTAAGCCCGCTAGCGTCACGTGTTTTACGAGGCCGGCGCGCGGTGAAGCTCTTGCATTATTTATGCAGCATGTTTCATGTGGTGCGCCAGTAGCCAGGCAATCCTAACGGAGACTGCCATAACTGAAGCCCGCGAGCGTCACGTGTTTTACGAGACCGGCGTGCGCGGGAAACTATTGACGCATGCGGATCGTTTCCATAACAACCTAGGAATTCGTATATAACATGCTTCTATTTCCTCCTCCTTTTAAAAGGAGTTATTATACCCGGAATGAACTCGTGCAAGTTATAGCGGTCTGATTCGCTATCTCTCATTTCATTTATGTGTGCACTTTACTTGGTGAGTATAACAATATAATAGCTACGTTGAGGTTATAGGTACATAGCCTTCATTGGTCAGAAGCATTTAATGTTGAGCAGAGGGTCAGGGTTGCAGCTAGTAGCTTATGTTGTCAAGGTAGGTAGCTAGAGGAGGCTTATCTTGGGATTGTTGTAGTGGTGGGAGACTTTGAGGAGTATTATAATAATTATGCAGGCGGGAATACGCGGGGAGCGTCTTTCCTCAGCTTACCTGTGCTTGGCGGCATTTCCAGTTTCAGTTGTTCACAGCTTACTGAATAACACAGCCTTGCCCCCCGGGTACACGCCTACTTCCTCCGCGCGATTTCCCTGCGCCACCTATTTCCGCCACTAAATTGTTAACTACGTTCGGTACAAACTATTTCAGCTTGCTTTTGCAGAACTGAGCCCCTCCTCACGCTGTATACCTTTTCATAGTCTCGCAGAGTGTAAATCGAGGCACTTTTCAGCTACAACGATCGCTCGCGTCTTTGCTAAAGCACGTGTTTTCCGCACACGCGCATGGGGAGATATACGCACGGATTTCTGCGCATGCGCTCAAAGGATTAAATGTCATTCACCCTGTTTTTATTGGTTACTCTGGCAGAGGCTGATGTTGACACAACATGTGCATGTTGCAAATATTTCTGTGCATGAACCATAAAAGTGTGGTATGAAAGCAAGAAAAGTGCAAAGTATATATTCATGCATCTGTAAATTTCGTTATGTAGTTTTAACACACCGAAGTGTGTAAAACCTCTAAACCGTGCTGTTTCTCTGCTTTTACAAAATTAATTGCACAAAGGAACTCTACACATTCTCCTAAGCACAGTATCATATATATGCAAGAACAACATATTTTTTGCAAATGGCTTTTTGGCATGTTTTTGTGTACAGGTCAATCAACACTTTTGACCACATTCGACATGTGTAAGAATAGCGACATGGAGCATGATGTTTAAGAATATATAGCACCGTCTGAACACAGCACACCAATTTGATGCCCTATATTTAGCACATCACACGCCAGGATTTAGATGTGTGTTGATAGTTGATAGCACACATTGCAAAAGAGCACGTAACAGTGTCTCAAGTAAAAGTTCCGTTTCTTATTTTCAGATTTTCTCCAAAATCATATATTATAAATCAGCACTGTTCCTCTATTAATATCTTCAGCAAATGCAGAATTTAGCTGAGTTTGATTGTCAACTTCAGAAGTCCGTACTACAGGGGTGACTAATTTGTGAACCCTGAAATTTTAGGGTGACAAATTTGTGAACTGCATGTTAGTATTGTTGTAAAAAGTGCCCACCAATTGAAAGGTTCGCAAATTTGTCATCCAGTTGCTTGAATTTTCAACATAAATCTGCTAAGATTCTCTCGAAATCAATTATAAAAAGTATTTCATGAAAATCGAAAATTGGAAAAGGAACTTAATTATTTATTTATTATTACACACCAAAAAAAGGTGCAAATGGAATGAGGAAATGAAGAAGATGACGAAGAAGGGCGGACCAGCGACCAGCTGGACTATGTCCCGTCGCCAATCAAGGGCCTAAGGGCTCCTGGACTGGCCACTGGCCCACTAAGAAAGAAAAAAGTGACAAACAACAAATAATAGGATAGGAAGGAAGGGAGGGCGACGAACATAGCAATGTATAAGTAAGATGATCAAATTGTGAACTGTGTAAGCTAAAATTCGGTCTGATGGACCTGATAAAAGAAGAAATATCCTTATCGGAATGAGTGTAATATTTTATATGACCATGACCATACATAGCATTGTAATCAAAAAAGTATATGCAAGTTGGGAGGACTGACGAAAAATGGGGGAAATAATTGGCGAATGGTGTAGCACACTTTTGGAACTAAAACAAATTAAAACGTTAAAAATTATGTTATAAATTGCTTGGACATTAGCAATACTATTAATAAGAGGGCGATGGTAGATTCCAGACTTTCTTAGAATTTTGTTGAGAACAACTTGTAGAGCATTCATCGACTTAGAGGAAAGAGACCAAAACCGACAACCGTACAGTGATAAACGATACATTTTAATAAGATATATTTTCACAACAGGGTCAGCTGGATGGAACGTGCATAAAACGGAGTTGGCTTTTATACTAAGATCTTTAATCACTCTAATAATATCAGGCTCGTCATTCAAATTATAGTTCAAGACATGACCAAGATGTTTGACTTCATCCGTATACTTCAGTTGTAAGTTCAGAAAATGAATTGTAGGCAGAAAGTTGCAGGATTTGGAATTTCCAAAACAGAACAGCTGAGTTTTATTAGCATTGAAAATCAAACCATGACCAGATGCGTATGAGCTGCAGGTGCTCAACATATGTCTCAATGCAGAGGCACATGGTGCCAACAAAACAATGTCATCAGCATAAGCTAGAGCACAAACAAACAAAGAACCCCAATAACAACCAACACCACTGTTAGACAATTCAACCAAAAGCCCGTCCAAGTATACAGCAAACAAATATGGAGAGAGAACACCACCTTGCCGAACACCATTAGACACAATAAACCCCCAAGATAGATAAGAACCCCACCGGACTTTCATCTCTTGAGCACAGTACCAGGATGATAAGAATCGCAGGATCGGAGAAGGAAGACCCCTTTTTTCAGCATAACAAACAGTTCGGAGTGATCCACCACATCGAAGGCTTTACTGGCATCAGAAAACACCCAAGAACCAAGGAGCCATTGTGAAGATACTACGAGACAATACACTTCACAACACCTGTACAGAGTGTGGTAGAAAATCGAGGCTTAAACCCAAACTGTAAAGGGTGACTGACAAAGAAAGAAGAGTACTGATCTAAAATGATACGTTCCAAAACCTTGCTCAAAAAAGAGGCAATAGATATTGGTCGGTAACTATCACTAGACGAAGGATCTTTGCAGCTTTTAGGAATGGGGATTAACACACAATCACGAAAGCATTTAGACATATAACCATGGCGAAGAATAGTGGAGAAAAGAGAGGCAAGTGAATCAGCAACAGAAGGGGCTGCAAACTTCAAGTGATTGGAGGACACAGAATCAAAGTCAGTCTTGCCAGACTGAAGGGAGTGAATAGCACTAAGGACGTCCTCATCTGACACAATCACTTCAGGAATCTGGGAATCAGATAACGAGGAATCAAGAAGAGCATTCAAGTCATCAGAAGATATACCAGAGTGAGTATTCAACAGAGAGTGTAACTTAGAGGCCATCAGATCTGCAATATCAGAAACACCATCAACAACCACCATCAACAACAGGAACAGGATTAATTTTGCTTTTGGAATTACTAAGAGAACTGACAACTGACCAAAAGTTACGAGATCTTTCCCACAAAAAGTATTAGAAAGTTTTGACCATAAAAGGTGCTGTTGTCTGCGATGAAAAAACATGTTTATAGCATACTAGCTAAAAGAGAGGAAAAGAAAAACCTCCCCCACTCAAGCACACAAAACACAGACAATAACATACCCAAGCATACAAAAACACAGACAATAACATACAAAAATTAACGAAAGAGGCAGGACCCTGGGTGCCCAGCCTTGAGAAACCGGGGCGGTAGGTTAAAGAGTCTTTTATGGGCCCAACTCTCCCTACACACCCAGTGTCCCAACCTCCCTTACACGAAAATAAATAGATAGAAATCATGTACAAAAAAACGACAGCTACAGGATAAAAACAACAGCCGGTAGAAAAATAGAAAGCCTCAAAGCACCAATAAACTCATAGAAAAATAAAAAAACTCTGAAACTCACGCAGCACGACGACACGACGGAGAAAAAAAAACGGCCGATTACTCTAAATAACGCACAGCATATACACGTGTAGAAAAAATAGAAAAAATAGAACTTCTAAAATAAGTTAAAATAGTTCTGTCGATTTTAAATATCGCACAGCATATACACGTGTAAGAAAAATATAAAAAATGGTAGAAATAGAAATGTTAAAAATAGATTATCCAAAATAAATATGTGACTATAAATATACTATGCGAGACATGGCGACTGAGGAACCTATCCATTGCTGGCAGACATATACCATCCTCCACATGTTTGCGTATGGCGCAGCTATATTTAATCATAATTTGTGCGTGCTTTTTAGCAAACTTATAAAAGGACCTGAGTATCTGTATCCTTGCTGAATCAGTCGCTCCGTTAGTTTGAAATGTCTCAACGTAAAATCCGAGTAATCACTACAAATTCTACCTATACGTACTATTTTGGGAAATATAGACTCCGTATGCTGGTCCAGATGGAATATTGGAACTTAGATATGACAATTTGAAGTTAAAATCATCCCGTTTAGCTATCATATTATACTGCTGTGGAATATTTCCCATTTCTTATAGTTATAATTATGTATATCTAAGTATGACAGTGTTGTTGGTGATTCAGATGTTCTTTTTAGTTTAAGCTCCTCTGGGTATATGTCATCAATGGCTGAATTAAACGATGTGTTATTCAATGTCAGCAAATCATCAATATACCTCATTGTCTTACTAAATCTTTTTACCAGCATCAAATTAGTTTTTATCATATTCTTCATATATCTATATTCATAGTAAAACAGAAACAAATTTGCCACCAACGGCGCACAATCCGTTCCCATTGGAATCCCTATACACTGTCTATATATTCTATTACCTATACTAACATAAATATTATCTATCAAGTATTCCACATATGTGACTAGCATCTCTTCAGTAATATTCTGTTTCGATGAGGAGTTCGATGGTATATCAGACCAGTATGCATTTCCAGTACTATCTGCTATAATGAACTCACTGTCTCTCACCATGTATGCTTCCTGAACTAGAGTCTCTAAAGCTTCTTTGAGTGCTACATGTGGAATGCTTGTGTACAATGTAGAAAAGTCGTAGCTATCAAAATGCCTGGCCGTAGAAAAATAATTTCTTTTGATCTGGAAGAGGACACCAGCAGAAGGATAACCAGCCTCTTTCCAGACTCTATATAAATTAGACGCTCTCTTCAACAATAAGACTCCATGATCCCTCCAACAAACAAGCTAACGATGATTAGTGGAATGGCGAGAAGGAGTACAGTGGGAAGCACAAGATAAAATTGTTGTCACAAGATGCTTGGCATATCCGTCAAGATAATCATAGTGACAAGAGCATCTAGCAGATAAACAGACCGCAACACAAGATTGAAATGGAGCAAACTTCTCAAGAAGGAGATCATAGAGGCAAACTCTTGAGAGCAAAGAACATGATCAATCCAGGACCGACATGAGCCATCATCACGCTCATATATGTAGGTGAAATCCACTGCACTCTGGTAAGACAAATCAAGTATCAAAGAAGCAAGTGGACCACGTCAGTCAAAATCAACTTTGAAGTCACCAACGATTAACAACACATCATAATTCTGAACATCAAGAAAACCTTGCAACTCCAATGGTGTTCAAGTAATCTAGATGTGAAGATGAATTGATATATCCTGGCATACAAACGCACACAGCCAAATACGAGATTGCATTAGAGGCCACAATTTTAACAGTATAGAAACGGCTAGAACATGTTACAACTGGGGAAACACTAGAAAGCAATGATTTGCGATACAAAATAGAGCAGCCACCAAAAGGACGCCCAACAAGCAATGACTCAGAATCCATTCCACTCACACTAACAGAACAAAAACCATGACTTATCTCATTGATAGTAGACAGTTGATTATGATGCTCTTGAATAAAAACCAAATCAAAACATCACGCAAAAATAGTGAACCACTATTCCAACCTCTGCAATTGTAGGAACGAATCAGAGCCACTATTGTGAATCTAGGTCCTCAACAATGGTAGAAGTGGAGGAAGAGGAAGAAGCTGAATCAACAGGCGACGAACGCCAGAGTCGATCACAAGAAGAGCTGAGAGAATGCAAGGGTACACTAGAACTAGTAGCAATATGAGGGTGAGGGACTGTAGACTGTAGAAGACTGCACTGTGGAAGATAACTTGGGTGCTGGTGTAGAAACTGAAGGCTGTGATTGGCTTAGGCTGGTCAAAACAGCTGAAGCAGCAGCAGAATTTACAAGAAGCTGCAGATCATCCGCAGGGGGTTTAGCCCTAACAATTGAGCTACGCTGGCGCAATCGATGCTCTGGTAGAACATCAGCTCTCCAAAACAAATGTTTCAGCCTGAAGTCCTGCAAATTCCTTTTGTGTAGTAATACAACTTTATGGTCCCATGTTGTAGCCAGTTTGATGAGAACAAGACGAGGATGAGCGCCAGAGCTAGGAGAGAGGATGCACTTACCCAAGCGAAACAAGTCCTTTATCTGAACTGGTCTTTCAGTTAGAACTCCAGCATCTCATCCACTATCATCTTCAAGTCGAGGATGGACTGTGACTCAGGGAGACCAAACAAGATCATTTTTCACTGTAGAAGAAAAGGAAGACAAGAAGAAAGATAGTTTACCCACCAAACCCTGCACAGTGGCAGCCAAAGCAGTCAGTGACTCAGAGTTCAGATGGACCTGTTCAGCCACAGGATCCAAGGAGAGGGGAGGCAACCTAACAAGATCAGAAGCTTCACAAAACATCGGGTGTGCTGTCAGCGATATTGCAGCATAAGTAACCGAAAGAGCAAAAAAAATTGTTGACAGTATGAGTGTAATTTAGATAATTATTTTCTGGTCTGGTCGCAATCAAGGCAGACAATTTGTATTGGTCTATTCCTATTGATAACTATCACAGTCAGTAAGTGCTGGTGTTCATGCAAAATTTAATGACGTAGAATCAGGTCACAAGCATCCAGCGCATCAAAAGCACAAGAATATCATCCAGATTGGCTGTGAGTTGAGTACGATTCTCAGAGTCCTGACGTACCTGGATGGGTAAATTAGCACCTCAAGTGACTGATTGCATGAGTCCCAGAGTAACCGCTTAGCAGTTTCCACAGCTGCACTACTGAAGCGATCTCTAACGACTCTCCTGAGGAGTCAGAATCACCCTTGAGACGAAAAGTTTTGATGAAACACAAGACAGGGTCAACCACAACGAACAGTTCGTACCTACACAGTTGTTCTGCCTGTAGAAGGTGACAGAGAAACATCAACTAAACATGGCTGTGTGTTGCCTTGCACATCACCACAAGTTTTTCCGCCACCAGGCATAACAGGGGAGGGCGTTGGGTTTGCAA